ATTAGTCCCACTTTCTAGATGAGGAAAAGGCAGGATTTTCTTTTTATTCAGTTTCCAGTTTGTTTGTATGATTCTATGATTAAAGGCACCTGCAGTCATGTTCATTTGTTCCCTGTGAAAATGATATTCAACACAGATGTCGAATGCAGGAAAAAAGAATTAACAAGCACTTGATAACAATCCCAAAATAACATCTCAACAATCACTTCTGAACATTAAAGTCATGGCAGACAAATTCCCATTTAAATGAAGGTGTTGGATAGGATTAAGAAAAAAATGAACAAATATATTTTCCTTTATCCTCATTCATTTAGGAAATGTCTAACATAGCTTAGAAATTCTTTTTTGAAGTGCAGATTGAAGGATGGTTAATTTCCTCTGTGAAGAGTCTTCAATTAGCAGGTTGGAATAAAAATGTTCCCTGATACTTTATCTTGAATCAGAGCTATAAAATAAAGGAGATTTAAGATGGAATGATGCAGTTCATTGGCTCTCAACAAGGTCACTAAGAAGTCAGTGGACTCTGAAGGAACCCACAATTCCAACATTAAACAAGCACACCCCCAATACAGTGCATGCGTTTTCATACAGACATTTCCGTGACTGAAATATGAAGCCCTCAAAAAGTACTACTCAATTTATAGTCACTGGATATAACTGGTACATGGAGGGGTGAACTTAATTTTTGTTGTTAAAAAGTTTTCATATTCAAAAAGGTTAGGAAACACTGATCAATCGAAAGCATTCTCATTACTGTAATGTAAAGATTTTAGGGGCAGGTGGGATTCCAACCTAGGTTCTTATGCCCAAACCGCCTTTGGCTAACATCACACATGCCTTCTAACTCAGGCTGATTCACTGGGCAGCAACATCTAATACCACTTCTTTCTGAAGAAGGAGAGCCCAGACCCATCTCCTCTGTGGATTTGTCCTAGGAACTTTCTACCTTTTCTGATCTTTTTACCGCTTTTCCTTCTCTCCCATTATGAACTCTCCAGCTTGGTTCATTTAGAATTAGCACCACACTCAACCCCCTCATACTCTGATGCTCTGAAAGTGCCCCTTTGAAAACTAAGTCTATAAAATGGAAATACAGTCTCCAAGATACTAAAATAAGGAATAGATGATGTATGCATAAATTGTGCATATGTATATTTCACAATGCAAATGTCAACACTCCTGTGGTGGATTAACGGTCATGTTAGGTGGGGACGCCCAGGTGATCTGAGTCAGTGTGGTTCTGGGTGTGGAAGAGCCACCTGAGGACTATTGCCAATGGCATAAAAGGAGAACAAGAAGGGAAGACTCCTGCTGATTTTCCTAGAGAAGCTTGTTGCGGCTGGCTGTCCGGATACAAATTTGGCTGTTCTCCTCATAGGGGGAGCTCGGGTCCTTGCTGTCACCAGGGAAGGTGGCTGTTCTCTCTGGGGGAGTGCTGGTCTGTAATTGAGCATTGCTTCCTGGCTCCAGTGCAGATCTCTCAGCCTGGTCACACAGGTCCTTCAGCCCCTGGTGCAGGCTTTCTAGCTTCAGCCACTGGCCTTTGGGCCTTCCTGGTGCAGATCCTCAACATGGACTTGCAAGAGACATTGCCGTGGGCTGTAGGCCTCTGGCTAGGCACATTCGGACATGGCCGTGGGATCCAGGGCCTCGGCTGGATTCTTCATGTCTCTAGCATACGGACAGATCTCTTGCACTCTTCTGCATTTGCCTTTTTTGGGTGAATTTAATAAAATAATCCTATTAATTATGTGTCTAGTATTAAATCTACTCCCTTGCAAACTCAAGACTACAACAGTTCCTAATAGCTATGGACAATAAGAAAACTGAATATTCAAGAATACTTTATTGACTCTGGATCTGTCAACAATAGGCTATTAATAAGCCCCAAACGTGCCAACTTTTCAAAAGGGCTTTCATGTCTCTTATTTTAGTTTATTGTACAAAGACTCTATGTAAGTGCTACGGGAATACTTTTAGAACTTAAATTCCATAAAGAGATGAGATGAAATACAGATTTTATTCACTGCTCTTTCACTAATGCCAAGAACAGGACCTGTCACATGATAGGCATTCAAGAAATAGTTGTTGGTTGAATAGTGGAAGTAGAATTGAGTGGTATATATGTATTGCCTTCACACTGTTTTATTTTTTATTTGAGAAAAGGAAGAGTCTATAAGGGAACAACTAAATTCCTAATACAGTGGGCCCTAAAGTTACAACCAGCCTAACATAATAATTAGGTAAATGGAAGATTCATCTGCCTCTTGTTATCTATAGTGTGTACCCAGGGAAACATCCAGATCTCAGCTGTATTGAGTTAGTTATAATCAGCCCTCGGGAGCCAACTGAGTTTATAAATCAAGGGTCCAAGGGCCTACTTTATTTTTTTCCTTATTCTTCAATCCTATAATCTCTCATTTAACATCTTTCCTCAAATATATTTAATGTAATGTTTTCAAAGTCATACAAGTAATTCATTTTAGGAAAATCCAATACTACCAATATATAAGAAGAAAATAAAAGTGTTCTTGATACCATCATCAAAAAACAACACAATTAACATACTATGGCACTTCCTATCAGATTTTATTCCACACATACACACAGGCACACCCATCTGATACTATTCCCCCAAAATCCCTGCCCTAGTCTTTGGGACCTGGAGTTTTTCCTCTTTCTCTAAGCCCTTTTCTTCACCTGTTACAGCCCTTTTCCCTCTTCTTACCCACTAAATTTGTTCCTTCCCCAATGTTTAGGTCCTTACTTTTTCCCCACACACCCTCCAGAAGGTTTGACTGCACCTCAACCTGAAACTTCATGAGGTGTCTTCTACCTGGAGCCTCAATTTTCCCTTTTCTCCTGGACATCAGAGCTCCTCCATTCATCCATATCCCAGCGTATCATGTCCTATCACAACCAGATGACTTGCTGGATGTGGCAGTGTACACCTGTGATCCCAGCACTTGGGAGGCTGAAGCAGGAGGATCACATGAGTTTCAAGGCCAGGCTGAACTACATAGTGAGACTGTCTCACAAAGACAAAACCAGACGACTTATTTACCCATTTCTGACAACTGCAGCAGAACTCTCTACATTGCCCTCAAGAGCCTTTGAGGCCCCATCCAATCATTCAAAGCCTTTCTATCCCCCTTCCTATTCTCTTATCCATCTTTTCCCATTGCTATGTTTTGTTTAGGCCTTTACACTTTTTTTTTAACCAGTGTCTCCCGTTTGCTGTATAACCAAAACACCAATTGGTCCTACTCACTGCTGCCTTTTAAACCCTTCTATCTCACCATCCTATATTCAGAAATTTATGGTTACTTCCTACTCTTACAAAATGTACTTCTAGTCCCTTCATAATCTTGCCTCAGATTAATTCTACCCCTATTTCTCATTATTCCCGAAAACCCTTTTCTCCAGCTGGCATGGCGCATTCAATACTAATACAATCTCTAACATTTATGAGTTAAGCATTTTTTTACCATTTATGACATGTCTGTTCATCCAACAAACAGCCTTTTCTATTCTGTAAGGTAACGTATTGACACCGTGGATACAAAGGTGAACAAGAGAGACCAAGTCCCTGTGCCCACAGAACTTATAGGCCAACTAGTTATGCAAGGGAGCCCCTGAAACATGATGGTTCCAGCCCCAGGCACTTCCAATCTTCCACTAAAATGTCAAGGCCCCACTAAGGGCTGCAAGTGGGAAAGGAGTTCAGAAGAAAAGAAGGGCTGGGCCAGGGTGAGAGCTGGAGTGTGGAGTATGGGGTTTTTTGTTGTTGTTTTTTTAAAGCTACGGTACTCAACTTGGACATTCAAGGGCAGGCTCCTGAGAATGAAGGCTGTCTTCCATTGGGAAATATTGTATGAGGAAGACACAAAGGTGAAATGAAAACAGAGGCAACAGCTATTTTGGATGAAGGTTCACGTAACACCTACTCAGCAGAGCACATGCTCTACCCTTGTGAGGCCTGGAGATCTGCAGCGGATATGAGAATGACTCAGCCTCAGCTCCTACCCCAGGGATTTCCAATCAGCAAGGAGGGTAAGACAGTTCAGTGGTGATGTCTCACACCAAAAGTGAGGCATTTCACAAAAGATTCAGAGAAAATGCCAAGGAATTTGGGGAGGGGGAGGGAGTACATGTCTGGGTTTGCATAAAAGTGTTTATAGAATCACATTTTTATTCACCTACATCCATGACTGCATATACTGAAAATAATGATCTTGTTTTCAGGTTCTAACTCACGCCTTTATCTTTTGTAGTGATTCGTGAAGCAGGCAGTGGGCAAGGTTATGTTTTCCAGGTAAGCAAAACCATCATGGCTCTTCTAATGATCGGCTTACATCAGGAACATAAATAGGCAAGAACGTCCTCTCCACCTCTGCCCACTCCTGTAGCAGTGGAAGTATCTGGAGCACAGTGTGCACATTAAGAAGTTCTGTAATTGCATCTGACACCCGAGAGATGTAATGGAGCCACGCAGGCAGTTAGGACTTAAAAGGACAGGGTGCAGGCTGCCCTCTGGAGAGGGAACAGGACCCAAGGTCTTCCCTCCATTCCTCTTCACCTCCCCAAGTCCTGCCTGCATCACCACCACCACCACCACCACCACCACCGAGGCCTGTCCAAAGCATAGCTATCCTTTAAAGCTTTGCTCCTAAATTTTTCGGCCTATTCTGGGTTTTCCTTGCAATGTTTTCACTGCCCCACTCCAGCCTCCCAGGAACATCACAGGATGCCCAGCTAGCTGGTACACTGACTCATAGGTTATGGAGTAGGAATCGGCTGAATGAATGAATTTCTGGGACCTCTACAACTGAGTAAAGATACCCTGGGTTCTTACATCAGTCCCTTGAAACCCGGAGGAGCTCACTAAGGCGAAGAACGAAGGACGGGATCAGGGGCCACTGGGAATCTGGAGCATCACCAAGGCGCGTGTCCCCAGCAGAAGTCGGGACTAACACTCCCGGGCTTCCAGAAAACGCGCATCACAAGCTCGTTAAATGTTTCACAGTCTACAAAATCGGCAGGGAAAGTGGTGAAAAACAAAGCCGGGAACGCGTGAATCTCGGAGCCCACCCCGGGCCAATCCCAGGAGGGGAGAAAGGTGCACGCGCGGGAATCACCCGCGGCTCCGGGAAGCGGGAACGGTTCTCGCCGCAAGAGAATCTAGGGCTGGAAGACTCGCGATATCTGGGGGTCGGGATCTCTCGCTGCGTTGCCTAGCGACAGAAGGACGCTCGCTGGCCCCCAGGCTAAACCCCCGCAGTATCCTTAAATTTCCTACCATGGGGGAAGAAGGCGGCGGCCGCAGCTGTGGGACCACTAGGGAGCTGCAGAAGCTGAAGCAGCAGGCGATGGAGTACTACCGGGAGAACGACGTTCCGCACAGGCTGGAAGAACTGCTCAACTCCACCTTCTACCTCCAGCCTGCCGACGTCTACGGGCACCTGGTAGGGCCCTGGGACGCGTACCCTCCCTACCTCCAGGCCCTCTCCCTCCACCCGACGCTGCGGCAACGTGCTGCGCCTGCGCTGCAGAGTCGCGCATGCGCGCTGTGCCGGCAGGCCTTGGTTCAGGGAAGCGATTCGCTAAGGTATAGTATAGAGGACTTCTGTGGTGAAAGAGCCCTGAGATGGAACCTGGGAGAAAGGAGACAGCTACAAAAGAGAGGGATGTAGCTACACTGACATCTTACAGCCTGGCGACCTGCTTGTGGGTTTGTTAAACACAGTCTTGAGTACCAGGTACCTCAGCCTATAGCTTCCTCGGCCTCCTAGGAGCACAGGATGTACGGCTTGGCGTTTGCTGTGTGTTCGCCTCAACCCATCCTGGGTCCTCATCTTGCTGGCTTCCAGTGCCTCCAAGTTGTGCCCAGATCTCAAGCCAGCGCAATTTGGCTGGTGCGCCCTCCTCTGCCTGGGTGCTGGTCCCCACCGGGCCAGCTCCTCCCAAAGCTTCACAATTCATACCTAAGCTTTGCACCCATCGTCCTGGAGCAAGAGACATAGAATGACCCGCTGGCATTCCCTGCGTGTACTGTGAGCCTTTGAGTCAGCTTCCCTACGGTTTGAGCTCTGGCTGAAAGCAAGGGCTTTTTCTTTTTCCCTCATTAAGTTTATTGGTACTTTTTAGGTGTACAGTACAGTTACATTCATCATTGGGATCTTCACCTTTACATGATGTATCTTATTTTCCCCCTATACCCCTGCCCTTTCTTCATCCCCTCCACCCTTCCCTATTTACAAAGACTTTGTTTCCATTTTTTACTTTTCTCATATATTTTCCCTTCTTTCCTTTCTCCTACCCTCCCCATTTCCTGTACTCCTTTAGCCCTTTTCTTCCTATATCACATTATCAATTATACAGCTTGAACCTTATTTACACTTCTAGTTTTTCACACCAGAGAAACTAATCGGTATTTACACGTGTTTCCTATTTAATTCACTTAAGAGTATGGCCTCAATATGCATCCATTTAGCTATAAATGACTCTAGTTTCTCATTCATTATGGAGGAGTACTCCATTTTATAGAAAAACCACCTCTTTATGCAGTCTCCAGTTGATGAGCAATTGGGCTGTTTCCAAATTTTAGCTATTACAAGCTGTGCCTCTATAAATGTGTGTACGTATGTCACTGTGGTATGATTCTTTTAATTCTGGAAAGATATCCAACAGGAATAGCTGGGTCAAATGGGACCTCTAATCCTAATTGTCTGAGGTTTCTCCATATTGATTTCCATAGTTGTTGCAAGCAAGGGCGTTTCTTTTTTAACCACCTTCAGGGGTCCCTATGCCCAGCCCTGAGATCTGGCTTGTGCCACATCCTTAAAATGAGCAGTTGAAAAGAAGGGTAGTATTTTCCCCTTTTGAGATCTATAAGGACTAACAAGCACTTTGTATCTGGAAGGCAGTTCGAAAGGGGCTGTTAGGATTTTGCACTGTGGTGAGGGGAAGCAAAGAAGCAGTAGGACAAACAGAATCTAAGTACTGTGAAATGTGATGTACAGAAAGGGTTCAACAGGACATCTGGTTGAGCTCCATGAATCTTGTGTTTTTCAGTCATGGCCTCTGTATCAAAGTTGATTTTTCAAGGGGTGGGAGGCGTAGTTTTCCCTAAGCCCATTATGCTCTGTGTTTTGTCTCATCCTTAGAACCATTGCAAGGTAGAAATTATTCCATTTCAGAAAGAACCTGTAGCCTATGAATTTAAATGATTTCCCCAAGGGACAGTCACAGAATTAAAATCAAGCCAGGTCTGTGTCCCCAAAAGCCAGCAGAAAGTGCCTGGCAAATAGTGGACACTCAAAAACTATTTGTGAGATGAATAAGCACTTGACTGACTCCATTCTCTTTCTAGAGGACTTCTTAAAAGCTATTTAGCCTAACTTCACTTTACAAACACCACAAACCCTGTCTTACAACTACTTAGTATGCACAAGCTGAAATTAGAAACTTGGACCCTTGTTCCCCAGTATAGCGCTATTCCCTGTCTATTAGGCCCTGATTCTGGTTTGTACAACTCTTGGGACCATATACATTGGTTAGGAACAAAAGTCATTGATACTTACATAATTTGAGTGTGCTAAATGGTATATGATTGTGTGCTAGATTAAGGGGCAGATCACATTATGCCATTAAAGGAATTCAGATATGGTAATGATCCCTGTGAAGTGTAACAACAAGGAAAGCCTTTGCTTGGACTTTGAAAAATATTCCGGAGTTTTGTTCATTAAAAAAAAAAAAAGCAACCTACTTTTTATTAGTCACTGCCCTGGTTTGGGCCACCTCTGTTTCACCTAGCCTTCTCTTCTATTGGGTCTGTCTTGCTTTGTGTTGACATAACACTGTTCCTAATACCCAAGACTAACCATTTTCTTGCCCAGAAACTTCCTGTGGCTTCTCCTTCCTTGGTAAGATCACACACTATGTGATCTTATCTTCCACTCTCCCTCACTCTATGAGAACAGTTACTGTCCCCTAAAGCCATCCCTTTTCTTCCACTTTCTTTCTTCTCCACTTTCTTCTCTGTTGCCTGTTGAAATACTACATATCCTCCAGTGTTCACCTCAAATGCCATTTCCTTTCTATTTCTTGGACAATAGAGGAATTCAGGGTTGGGGAAGATGCCTATAGGTAGTGGCAATACTACTTGTTCCTTCATTATCAGACTTACAATTGAAAGATCAGGAATCAGACCAATCTGAGTTTGAGTCTCAGTTCTGCCACTTACTAGCTGTGAGAGAGTGTTACATGTATGAGCCCCCAAGAACACACTACCAATAAGAATGCTTTTTTGGAAGTCCTTTCCATGTTGACTCTAGACTTAGCCATGTGACATGCTTAGATCAATATAACCTTGGCAGGAATGATCCAAACAGGCTTGATAGGTGCTGCCATATTGAAGCTGGTCTTCTTAGACCGTCCTGTGAGGAAGGCCAATTACCTTGCTGGAGAAAGAGACCAAAGAGAGTCATTGGCAGATGTCCGGCCACCAGGGTATTCTGTGAGAAAGACTGATGGCTCATCCCTGACTAATCTAGCCATCCCAGCTGAGGTACTGGCCTTGTCAGTGAAGCTACCTTGGATATCCTGGCTCCATTGAAGTCTTCAGATGATTGCATCTGCATACAAAACTCTACATTCAACCATTTGAGCCTGGCCCAGATTGCAGTGTTATCACATAAGTAATTTCTACCACAAAGTTCTAGGCTAGACTGTTACAAGCAATAGATCATTAAAACATTGGCTTTGTAATTTCGGACACTTTATTTCACTGGAACTGAATTTGCTCCTCTGTGGAATGGAAAGGACACCACCGAAGTTGTTTTGAGAAATTGATGATACTTGTGTATAGAATGCCCAGGGATGTGTCTGACACTCATTAATTCACATAAGAATCCTGTATGTGCCAGGCACTGTGGTGTGTGATACAGTGACCAAGAAGAGACAATCCTTCCTTTGAAGTGCATATTAAGGATTTGAAAAATGTTAATTCCCTTCCCTCTTAACATTGTATGTGGCACACTGTAGGCGCTTAGTCCTTATTGAATCAAACTCTCTGTAACACATGATCTGTAAGCTAAATAACATTTTTCTTTTTCTGATTCCATCTAAATTAATTTTGGTGCTTACTCAGTAACATACAGCGCACCACCCCAAAATGCACAGATGGCTTGAAAGTTGGCATTGGCTTTGATTGTGCCTGGCTTCCACCTCTGAGCTGGCTTATTGCTGTCAGTGTCACCTGACCTATGGTCTTGGCTGAAGTCACTGGATCCTCAGCTGATGGGGTGAAGGACAAGAGACCTCGTCTTCTCAATAGAAACAAAGAGCCTGATACAGTACTTGGTAGAAGGAGAATGAAGAGAGTATGCTTCTGCTTCTCTTCCTCATCTTTCCTCTGTTCTTGCTTCTTTGCAGAGAAACACATAACCTTAAATCTTTTTACTCAGGCTCCTGGCATGGACCTTCTTCTACCTGTTTCATTCTTTCTTCTGTCTCTTCCTTGGATCACTTCTACATGGCTTCTGCTTTTCCACCTCAGTGAAGTTGCGATTTCTAAGGTTTTTGACAAGCTTCTTTAAACACATAGGACTGTGCATAAGTTGATGTTGAGACCCAGCTGCTGAATAATTCTCCTCGTTCAAAACTCAGATGCCTCACTAAGGGGCATCTTCTGGTTACTTCCTGTGAATTCATCACAGTTTCTAGGAACTGATTGACTTTCTCAGACAGAGGGAAATGGGTTGACTCTAGGAAGGCCTGCTAAAGAGTGACACAAGGCCTTTAAAGAGAGCTGCTGCTGAAAGTTGAAAAGTCTATGCGTTGCCCATATGTGCCAGGCTCAGTGTGTGTTTGTGGGGGGGCACAGTAGTGAGAGCAGGGCTGATTCCACAGTACTACTGCTCTAACCCCAGCCTGAGGAAGGACACATGGAAAGGTTTAGAAGTAGGTAGTGATCGCGAACCTACGGTGTGTGCTGCAGTGAGCTGTTTGTATCATTGAAAGCGTCACCATTACTGAACAAGAGTATTATGTGAATGACTTTTTGAAAGTTAATTTGATGCAGTATTCTGATTTTTTTTTTTGTATGTGCGTATTAAAGGCAAACTGCTTTTCTAAACTTGCAAAGCCTCCCACCATATACAAAATAGTGGGGAAAAATGTACTGGATGGACTTGGGCTTCCTACCCTGCAAGTGGAAGTATTCTGCACCATTCAGAATTTTACCAAGGTATGAAGCAGTTGAAATGTATTCTTTTAAAATGTCTCGGCCACTGCATTTTTTTTTGCAAATCTTGTCTAAACCGTAGAAATTTAAAATTCTGTGTTTGTGAAATATATGTGTGATTTATTCATTATCATGTAAATATGATTATATAAATCAGCTATGATTTATGTTTTATTAAGTGTAATTTTAATATAGATGCGACAAGCTAACAGATGATCCAAGATGGAGAAAGAAAAGCAAAACTAGTTTTAAAAATCTGACATTATACAATAAATTCTATAAATCTATATGTAGGTTTATAAATTCATTTATTAATTTATAGATATGTGAACTGATTAAAGAAAATTTTAACAAAATTTTTTTTGAGACGGTCTCACTGTGTAGTTCAGGCTGGCCTTGAACTCACAATGTAGCCTAAACTGGCCTCAAAAACTCACAGAAACCCTGATCCTCCTGCCTCAGCCTCCCAAATGCTAGGATTACAGGCGTGTGTCACCGTGCCTGGCTCAACAGTTTCTTTTAAATCACTTTAATTACTATATATTTGTTAGAAATAATTTTGGTACAGATCCTGTGTCTTAGTTACTTTCCTCATTGCTGAGAAAAATACCCAACACCCAGAATTAAAGGAAGAAAGGTTTATTTCAGCTCCAAGGAAGGGCAACATAGAGGGGCATAGAGAGGACAAACAGTGTATAGCATGCCAGGAAGAAGGCAGCAAGCAGCAGCAGCAGGCCAACCTTCTTTCTTTCCTTTACATTTTGTCCAGGCTACAAGCCTATTGATTGGTGCCACTCCCAGCCAGAGTGAAGCTTCCATTATTCACACCCTTAATCCCAGTATCATATACCCTAGATCTAGCCAGCTGGGAAAAACTCCACTCAGGAGTGCCTGAGGCTTTGGAGGGACATCTAGATACAAACTATAACACCCAGGGAGAATAAAGGTGATTAAATCTGTCCATGCCCTTATCACAGTTACTCCAGAGGATGAGGCAAGAGGGTTGAAAATTCAAGGCCAGCCTGTACAATTTAGAGACATTGCCTCTGTCTCAAAATTTAAAGATCTAGGGATGTAGCTCAGTGGTAGAGTGTTTGCCTAGCTTATATGAGGCCCAAGGTTCCATCCTCAGCACCAAAATAATAATAAAAAAAAATAATCTGTTCATATCCTTATTGAGCTATTTATTGGAAAGGTAGTGATAAAAATGAAGTTCAAGTAGCATTTTTATAGTGTTATTTTAAGGTAATTTTATTTTGTGAAGTTAGGTTTTACAGTGTTTCAACATTTATAAAATATCCCAGTGAAAATTGTATCTTTCATTTTCCTTTTAAAATCAATGATAAAATAGCTCACATGTTAAAAGCTAGATTCATTCAATTTCCTATTTTCTGTGAGAGGTAGAGGAAATACGTGGCACATTTATATCATTTCTAGAGCATCTGTTCTGTGGTGATCCCCACTCACTTTGAAGTCTGTGAAAATGCTTTGCCTGAACTGGTGGAGGCAGAGGAGGCAGAAAGGCGCCTGGCAGTGAGCACTGCTGTGCAGTGGGTCAGTGAGACCGTCACTGAGGAACTCCGGGGCCTGGCGCCCACCGACCAGGCTGAGGTGGATCGTGTGCTCAGGTACAATTTCCACTTTGACAAAAAAAAAATGTCAAGCATACCTACGTATCTGTTGTCTTTGCATTTCACCTGTGGAAAAAACGGCTCTGTCAGATTTAGAGAGTAGGTAAGTCAATTTAAGAAGCATATGTCAAAGCAGCAGAATTTTACAGAAAATAGTAGTTATTCAGAAATAGTTACACAGAAAATTCTGTCACTGAAATCTTATTGTCTGAGATTACACAGGACCTTTTGGTCTCTTTTTATGCATAGAGCTTCCCTAGGATTCACCAAAAAAGTTTCTCATAAAAAGATGAAAGCAGAAATCTGCGTAATGTCCTCTCCTCTCCCCAGCCCTCACCTGCCGCCTTTGTACTCTTCATCCTTTCATGGGATCATAGTGGCTGTGCTTACAGTTCTGCTTTCACCACTGCCAAGCCTTTCCTCTTAGCCTCTTGGTTGACTCTAAAACTTAAAAATCAAGGAAGAATGTACTAGGCTGTGTTAGTAATTTCTCAGAGGCTAAGTAACAGATTAGGATTAATTTTCCTTGTGTGCAGAATGCTTTTTTTGTGGCCAAGCAAAGGTCAACTAGGCCTTCTCTCTTAAAGCCTGATCATTTACTTAGTTTTTTTAAATGTCATGTTTTGGTTTGCCTCAGAGTTGGATGATGACCTCTGTTAATACTTTTTAAACAGTTTTTGGTTTTCTTGGAGTTCCTGAAATTGCTATTATCAAATATTTTGTTGTTTTTTTTTTCCAAGTCCTCAGTCACCCTCTCAATTTTATTAATCGCCGTTTTTTTTTTCCTGGAGTTTTTTCTCCCTAAACTTCCCACCAGAACTGGTTCCTTGCTGGGCCCATTGCAGAGATACCATGAAGACTTCATGTTCTTCTGGTTCTGGACCCTATATTTTCCTCTTTCTGGATTATATCCTTTGAAAGTAAGGAAGAGAAGGAGGATATGGGATCTAAGGCTTTTGAGTTCTTAAATTTGTAGAAATGTCAGTACTTTGCCCTCATGGTTAATGGTTTAGATGAATTTCCCTCAGTCCTTTAAAGATGTTGCCCCTGTTGGCATCTGGAATGTTAATAAATTGAATGTAAATCTAATTCTTAAGTCTTTTTTTCTTTTTCTCCATGGAAGTTTTTATCCTCTTTTTTGTTAGTTTGGGGCGGGAGCTGGGGAGAGTGCTGAAATTTTATGTAATTGTACCTAAGTGGGAGTTCCCCAAAGTTTTTTTCATTGTTCGTGTTAAGAACCCCTCCAAGAAATAAAAAAAGAAATCTTTTACCAAATGCTCTGTTTCACTGTGTACTCTTGATGTCATTTATACAAAAAGAAAATCCAGTAGCCCTTAATCAAATCATGACTTCAAATTTGATTTTGAAAACACAAACAGAGCTCAAACAATTTAACAAATGACCATATGAAATCTTTAATTAATCTTTTATTTCCAGGCCAAATGTATTTCACATTTTTTTTTCTGGTACCAGGGATGGAACTCAGTACCTTTGTGCTTGCGTGCCACTGAATCCCTGGCTATTTCACTTCTTGAACACAGTTTTATAACAACATCATTATTTTTTTGGCTTGGATATTAACTTATTCTTACATAGCTAGAGAGCTCATTATTGAAATGTACTGGAGTTAGCTATAAAGTATGACCAAAAGTACAGAATGGTGTTCTGTATAAATGGTACATATCATGATATGGCTGATTTTAAAGATACATTTTCTTGCCATTAAGGGCATTCTTTGCAAATAAAGTACAAGAAGAAAAAGAGAGAAAAGCATTGGAAAAGAGCCAGGAAGACTCAGCAGGGCCTGTACCACCACCTCAAATGCTGCCACCATCTCCTCCACCTCCTACCAAAAAAAGGGGGCAGAAGCCAGGTCAGTGGATTATCATCCTACAAAAACTTTAGTGACAAACATTTGAAGAAGAAAGGCTATTGCTTGGACTGTTTGGATCCAGCCATGTGCTATCTACCTTCCACACCACATCTTGCTACTGTGCTGGGTGGACAGTGTTTTACCTTACTCTGCCCTCCATTTTAATTTATAAGACAAAATTGTTTCTCATTCAGAGATGAGCACTTGTTAAATAAAATACAGTGAACAGTGGCAATATGGAAGTTGGGTACAGAATGAGGGACTTCTCATCTCCCCTGGAAATTTCCATTAGATAATCAAAAGGCCACTCCATATTTTAAAGAGTATTGAAATTCTTTGCTATAGGCAATAATTTCTCAGTCCCATGTCACATATAAAGTAAGATTTGTTTTTAAAAACATTGCTATTTTAAAGTACATAGAGGTTATCACTTCAATTTGATATTTGTTCCATGTCTCTCAACGAATTTCTAACCTCAACCCATCTATTAGGTTGATGCCAGATTGCTCTTAGGATAGTGTTGTGTTTTGTTTTTTGCAGTAAAGGATCGAACTCATGACCTTGAGGATAGTGTTTTTATGTCTACCAAATTAGAGCATGCTCCTTAAAGGAACAATTAATGAATGCCTTGTTCAGTGATGGCAAACTTTTTAGAGACTGAGTGCCCAAACTGCAACCCGTGTATTTATTTAAAAATTCCAATACTGCCCCTGTGTGCGCTGTTAAGCACTGCTCGAATGCTGGGGTGATGCTGGGGCAACTCGGCCAATGTACTGACCAGAGAGGGTTCTGCGTGCTCACTGAGACACACGTGCCCTAGGCTTGCCATCACTGCCCTTATTCAACTTCTCATTACCAGTGTCTTGCAGTGTGACACCCTCCATCTCTGAACACCCAATAAATGTGGAACCCATTGAATAACAAGGCACCAGACCAAGAAAAGACTAACCACTATGGAGACAAAGTCCTTTATTTCATTGATATGACTGCAGAGATCCAGAGAGGACAAGAGTATTGACAAAGGCAAAAGAATTATGTTAGACCAGTCTTCTCAAAGACTGTCCAAATCCCCCCTATCCACTTTCTGCAACATATTGGACAAGTCTCTTAATCTCAATAACCTGCAGTTTACTTATATATGGTTGTGATCTCTACCTCACCCCAAGGTGTTAATACTGAACGGTCTAGGACCAGGATTCCTGGTATTAAAAAAAAAAAAAAAATGAATGGCTTAAAATTTCTTAGGCAAAATCCATAGCTTGGGCTCATTTGAGCACCAATAAGTAAAACCACACACACTTTAGGTGGAGAATAGTCTTTTTCCAGCATGTTTTTACCCATCCTTTTTGTTGGTCCTTCCTGTCTATAAGTGAAGCATTTAGAAGTATAGTCTTACGGTAGACTTCCTAGAAAGGAATCTTGGTCAATGTTTTTCCTGCAGGAAAAAAGGATTCTCTTTATATAGAGAAACCTATCATGCCTGCAGAACCTGCTGAACCAGTACTCTGTGGCAGTATGGCCATAGGGGCTGTGTCACTAGCTGTTGCCAAGACCAGCGCCATTCTGGGCAGTATTCCTCTGTACTTAAACATTGCATTACTGAAGCATAATCAGGTTAGTGTCTGTTATATTCCATTACAAGGAGCCCTGAGTGTCTCCGAGAGAATGAACCATTTTTCTCATTTTCCCTGCTTTCCCCCTTTTCAGGAACAGCCAGCAACGCTAACTATGCCTTTGCTGATGGCATCTGTGGTCAGCTGTGGGAAATCATCACCTGGGAAGCTAAATTTAATGAAAGAAGTGATTTGCATACCCCATCCTGGATTAACAACTAAACAAGTACCTTCAATTATTCCAGAGTACTTTTTCTGAAAAAAAGAAAGGAAAAACTCCATTATGAATGTGCCCTTAGCATAGCTCCTTTATGATACCAAGGGGGAGAGAATTAAGGATAGAATGAGAAAAAAATAATTTAGGAAATGTGGCAAATGGAAATAAAGCAAGACCTCAAAAAAAAGGATACACATATCAGATGTCTGGCTCATTACGGCATTGGCTCATGCTAGTGATTTACAGAGAAACCAGGATGTGTAACTCTTGAGGCCTTAATGGTGTGGGAAGGTTGTTAGCTGGGGAAGTTGGTATGTCTTTATTTATTTCTCTGCATTTTATTTATTGGCAGTAGCAGGTAGAAGCTAGCACTTTCTTAGTCTCCCTCTCTGTTCAAAAAGAACTCCACACCTAGCATATTGCCTACCACATGTAAGGCATTTAGTGTGCATTTGTGGAATGAATGAATCCTAAGTTGCTTCTGAGAGATGTACTGATGATGTCTGTTACTCCTCAGTGGCCTGAGCCAGTATGCCTCTGAAAATCTTCATAGAGTATTCCACCAATTGGCCATGAGGGAGACTTTACAGGTTCATGTTCTATAATGCTCAGAAAAAGTAAAGAAGCTTCTCCTCTATCCCGCCATTAACATGTTCCAGCCAGCTTGAACCACCAGTGGTACATACTGTCCCAGTGGGATAGTCATGCCTGTACCACCCATGGTTCAGAACCTCCCAGAAGTGAGACATACGAATTTCAGCCCCATCATGAAAATATTAATGATGAGTGATATTTTCTAAGATAGTAGAAATAAATTTTTAAAGGGTATTTTCTTTATGATAAAGAATTCTTTTTAAAAGAAAATCATCATACCCTTGCAACTTATCAATTACAAACCAGGATTTATCTATGGCTCACCATCTGTCAGTTTACTCCGATCTATTGCTAGTCAGAGTCCTTTAGCTAATATCTGTTGTGCTAGTTGGATACTACAGCACTTGGCATGCCATTCCTTATCTGTCTTCATATACAGATTGCATTGTGATCACAAACCACTTTTTACCTTTTAAGTGACAGTAGGGTCATACTGATTCAGGCACTCTAATCCTGACTGTCTTGGTGACATATACTGGAAGAAAGTTGTCTAGCTTGGTCAACATATGGTGAAAGGGAATGAAGTTAACTTGGTCCACCAGTGGAACCAACCAGTTCTAAACAAGGAACTCAGGCAAATGCAAACCAGTAGCCATAGACTAACATTTAATCTTCTGATTGTGTAGACCACTCCCTTAGCAGGGGCCCACAGCAGGAACAATTAATACAGTATTCTGAGTTAGGAATAGCCATGTGTGATATGTTTTTATGTTTAAAATTCTTAGACTGCAAAAAAATCATGGTTACTCTACTTGTAGGGTGTGGAGATGCTTCTGGAAATTCAGAAACAAATTAGCAAAATACTGGAAATGGTAGGTAAACAGAATCTACAGTATTTTGTTACACTTACCTTCTAGGTCCAACTTTTAGTTCATTTTGAACTAAAATTTAGTTCATTAAATCAGTATTATTGTTATTAATGCTTTGAGAAATGTATTTGCTTTGGGTTTCCCATAAAAAACCAAGTGTATACATTACTTATTGGCTATGTATCCATATTCTTTATTTTTTTCTGGTACTGGTAATTGAACTCAGGACCTTGCACTTGCCAGGCAGGCGTGATGCCAGTGAGCTAAATCCCAGCCCTATGGATCCATATTCTAAGGGTACTCAATCTCATTTTGATCCCTGAGGCAGCTGACTGTATGCTAAGATCATTCTTTAGGATTTACAAAGGATGTAAGGCATTTGTGCCTTTTTGGGGAAACATGTTTTATGCTAGAAAAGCAAATCCCACAGTAGTAGGTAGAATTCTGTGAGGGCAAGGAAGTAGCACAAACCCTCCTGCAAAGAGTGCCTGTGTACAGCAGGTGTTCCTCACATAATGTGTGAATACTCTGTTTATATGAGTAGAAACAAATGAACCTGTGTTTACATACCTGACATATGTGACTGAAGGCAGAAGGTAATGTTGAACTAGAGGGAGTATGTGCCTGAATTTGAGAAAGTGTTTGGGACAAGTAGGGAGTGGGTGGAATCATCCAAGTGTATGTCTGTGTGTGTGTGTGAATGTGTGTGTACATGTGTGTAAGGTTCATAGCAAACCAGCTAATTAGAGGCCCCTTAGAAGTAGACAGCCAGAAGACCTGAAGCTCTAGTTGCTGTCACAGACTTTAGGTCTAAAGATCCCAAGTTATGTATTTTTGGGCCGGGGATTTAGCTCAGTGGCATCATGCCTGCCTTGCAAGCACAACGTCCTGAGCTCAATCCCCAGTGGCAAAAAGAAAAGAAAAGCAAGCAATCATGTGTTTTTTATCTTCTATCTCACAGCCCACTCCTCCTAAAGAGAACAAAAAAGGACTTAATGGAAACAAAAGAGGTCAAGTAAGTACATGTAATTGTTTGCCATACATATATATATTTTTTTCCTCCCCCACTTTACTCTCCCAGAGTCCTTTTTCTTTAAGGTCAGAGCTCAGGAAAATGGAAACAATAAAGTGATATTGCTCCAGGAACACAAACCCAGGGCTGGAATAGCAGTGTGCCTTTTCATCATCAGGCTGCCTGGCCACTGATGCCTGCAGTTGTCAGCCAGCTGGAATCTCAGAGGGCTCAGAAGCATTTATGATGCATTTATGGTAACAACATTACATTTGACCTTATAGGTTCAGGGATTGGGAAGCTCTCATAACTAACTGAAAGGCATATAGGATATTTTAGATTGCACTTTTATCACTACCAAAGAGAAAAGGAATAAAAAGATGGCCATTTCTTTCCATCTGGTCCCCAAAGGCACAGAAGCCCATTCTAGAAGAGCCCTTGAGGGAACCCAGAGATTATCTGGAGAGTCAGACAGTCCATGTGAAGCATGGCCACACTGACCTCCAGAGTCTTGGGAGACCACTCACTTGGGTTGGTCACTCACTCACTTTGGTGATTGTGGGTGCTCTGATAGATACACCTATTATCTACCCAACCTTCTAAAAAACAAACAGAACAGCCAGTAAGAATCCTGGAGGTAACACAAGAGGGCAAAGCTTGCTCACCTCTGCAGCGTTTGCTGTCAGCCCGCAGTTCAGCTATGCTGATGGCAGGGATGTCTATCTGTTGGCATCAAAAGAAGAGGGACTAGTATTGAAAGGAGGGGACTTGACAGGGACAAGATGAGGAGAGAAGAGAGAAATGTGAATAAATACAGCAATAAATACTTTGTAGCTATGTATGTTAGAGTGAGCATAGCATTCACGTGAGGCCTTGCCAGAGAGGTGGGAACGCTGAACAACTAATTGGTGCTGTTCCCTTCTAGCAAGTTGTCTTCTATATGCTGAGAAACTTAGATGAGGTCTTCGCTTCCCATGACCTCCTTTATTTAGTTACTTTATAAAGAGGCCACCATAGCCGAGTTAAGGGAGTGGACTCTGGATCTAAGTACTGGCATTACTTTAAGTCTTGGTAAAATGGAAATAATCATAATAGTTGTTTCGTGAGGTTGCGCTCTCATAAGATGCAAATGAATTTGCATTGTGTAATTGAATGAAACTAATTGATAGACAAAAATTTCTCCAGCTATTCCTTTGCTTGATGAGTTTAGAAGTTTCCCTCCATTGATATTAAAAGCACTGAAAAAAATGCTGAGTGGGTCTTATAATTAGCAGCATCATCAGTAAAAACAGGATTATTTATACCTGGGTTCAAATCTTCCTTTGAGTTTGGTAAACATAAACCCTTAGTCCTAAGAATCACTGATGTTGTTACAACTTATAAATATAGAGTAGCAATTTATGGTCAGGCATATCAAGGCTAACCTTGCAATAGAAGCATATGGCTGCCTTGCCCTAGGGGTTATTTGGGTCCCCAAATGTTTTTCCAGTAACAGCCATTATCCCAGTAATGCATCATTTTCCTCAAGTCTTCAATCCTTTTAAAAATACAACTTTTCCTGAAGGAGTATTACATCTTTAAGTTTCAACTTTTAGGTTTATCTAAAGGAAACCATGTTTGGAGAGGAATGGCTGAGTAAGAGACTGATGGATGGGTGTTTACAGGGACACCCTGGGAATTCACTGAACTGGTAGTCGGGGCTTGGGCTAGCCCCACAGTGGAAGAGTTGATAAAATGATAACAAGACACAGCCCACTAACAAGAGAAAACCCATATAGTGCAGAGAGACCTTAAGCTCAAAGTCCTGTGAATGGGACCTAGAAGTAGGATTAATCTCTGTACATCACAGGAAGCTCCAGGAGCCTTGATGTAATGTGCTAATATGCGTCCTCTTCTTCTGCTCTTGCAGCAGCCGGTCACTAGTAAGATGTCCCATCTTGGCTGTTTAACCATTAACTGTGATGTCATGGAACAGCCACTGCTTCTAATACAGGGCGTCTGTGCAAACCTGGAGCTGGAACTGGGAACAAATCTGCATCTAGCCATCAACTGTGCCGGACATGAGTTGATGGACTACGTAAGTTTCCACTTCAGAACATTTACTTCTTGTTGATGCCCATGATTTCAAAGTTAGAACTCAAAAGAAAAGCTTATCTGAATGAATAGTTCCTAAAGAGATTGTCTTTAAAAATTAATAGTGGGTAAGGGATCCAAACATAAGCAGAGATGAGGAAGCCAAATTAATTACTAGAGGGTAACATAATCATATAATTTAAAAAATAAAGTCAGAAATAGTGGCAGAAGCCTGTAATTCCAGATATTTGGGAGGATGAGGCAGGTGGACTGAAAGTTCCAGGCCAGCTGGGCAGCTTGGTGAGACCTTGCCTCAAAATATAAAAAAAGGCAGGAGATGTAGCTCAGTGTTCCTTGTGTTCAGTCCCAGGGATGGGGACAGAAAAAAAATTACATAAAATGTCTTAATTTTATATAGAAATTCTTCTGGGCAGATGACTGTTAGAGTTTATGTTGTTCCTCGCTTTTAAAAAATTTTGCAGTGGCAGTGGTCAAACCCAGGGCCTCAACACATACCGGCAACCATTCTGTCACTGAGCTACATCTCCAGCCCTCACTTTTTATAGAAAAAAATGTCTCCAAGTTATTGAAGTTTGTGAAGAGTTATGTTTTTATTTAACTATATAAAGTCTTATCCCCAACCTGGGTGAGGACAGAGACTCAATGATGAAATATCACCTGGTGACCACATTACCCAGAGAGAGATATTTTAAAAAGAGACTGGAAAGCAAATTCATTGAAAACTGTTCCACTCCTCACTTCCGTAAACTAATACAAAAATTTACCTTTATACTTGAGAAATCTGCATGTTAGGAAATCTATTCGAGGTTTTCTGCCTTATATACACACATCTTACTGTTAAATACACAATGCTGTCTCCATTCTACAAAATGCCCAGCAAATTGACATGCATTTATGGTGACTTGGTAGTTAATGTCAAATTCAGGGGACATGACAAAATAGGATACTGTTTAAACCTGATTCTAACTTTCAACTACAAAGGAAATTTTGAATGGTGTATAAGAGCCTTAAGTTTGGCCTATTTCTCAAAGTTCTTTTACTTTTCTAAAGAAACTAAGCACATAAAGGATGTTTAAAGTAATTTCCTATTCTTCACATAATGATTGGTTCCTAGGCATACCATTAAGAAAAATAATTGCATGTTTTCATCAGCAATGTATACCAGGAACTATGAATATACTGACTGCTAGTGCTAAGTAGAATGGGTATTTATTGCTTATATTCAGTAAAATGTATTAGCTTGATGTCAGCTAATTCTTACAATAATGTTAGTTCAAAGTCATTAGCATTTCCTCACTGATAAGATAGGATTTTTAAGCTTTGCATTATTGGAGCTGAAAGTTCTTGCTGCTTTTTAACATGAAGTATAAAATCTCTTCAATTATGAACTTCTTAGAAACCTGTTAATTCCAATGGAATTCAGTCTATTAGCAGCAGCAGCAGGAAAGCATTAGCAAACCAAACAGCCACTCTGTCCATTCTATCTCTTTGCCAGAACCTGAATGTCCTGGCTGCCACCCCTGAATACAAAATTGTTTTGCAGAAAGACTACACTGGATCCTTCAGCCCAAATGACTGGGGTTGTGCTAAAATCTAACTTTCGGGATGGTTCCTACTAGAAGTTGCATGTGACCTGAGAAAGAGATGCCTTTCCATAAGCCACTTCACATTTCATAATGGTTGTTAGTACTATCCCAAGCTGGATGTGGTGGTGCATGGCCTATAATCTCAGCTAGTCTGGAGGCTCAGACAGACAGATTGCAAGTTTCAGAAAGTCTGGGCAACTTAGTTCAGTCCCCAACACTAAGGAAAAACAAGCCTAGCCCTGCTTTCAATTTTTAGAATATATACAGTAAAAAAATAAATTATTTGTTCAGTGAGTTGAAAGACAATGGGTTCTAGAGTGGGCAGGTTTTGCGTGGCTGTTCTGTTTGTTGTTTATGAATCTGTGCTATTGTCCATCTACCTAGGCAGCCAGAAGCCTGGGAACATGTCATAATCCTAAATAAGAAAACAGTTGCCCACTGACTCTGTATCTGCTTGCTTTCTGTGTAGAAGGCTCCATCTGAAGTTTATGGGAAGAGCTTTCTATGGTTTAAGAAGGAACAGTGACTTGATTGCCCCAGGTTAATATTTTGAAAATATATAAAGTAAAATGAATAGATTTTTAAGGATACTGTGTCTTGAAAATATCTGTTTATAATCTTTTATATGAAAAGAATGAAAAGGAATTTGTCATCTTTAACATTTGAACATGTATCCTTTTTTTTCCCTTTGTTTCCCATACACATATTAGAATAAAGGAAAGTATGAAGTACTGACGGGAACCCACAAAAACGCAACAGAGATGGTTGACCTGTACGTGGAGCTAATCAACAAGTACCCTTCCATCATTGCCTTAATTGATCCTCTCAGGAAGGAGGTAAGCTTCCTAAATTGTGCGCATTTCATAGTATTTTTATGCTAAAGCAAGCAGGCCCACCTTCTACATTTTGTAGCAAAACACAGAATAAAATGTCATTCTTTTGGATCTCTGTCACTGGGAATGTGTTGGAATTTGGGCTGGGTTGCTCTATTTTGGCATTTATGAGAAAGGCATGAAGCACAAGAATAATAGGAACACATTCACCTTGGGGTATGCCTGTCTGTTGAGTGAAATGAGCGCATTTGCAAGCCCTTCAGGAGTACCTGTGTATTTACAAGCAACTTCCTGATGAAAACCACCCCTGCTGCGCTGGCTGGTGCTTCAGTAGCTTAATATGATTTTCATGTTCTCATGGAGACAGGACCTCTACAAGGCCAAGTATTAAAACTAAATCCAGTTACGACCTATGCACAAAAGGAACAGAGCGTTTGTTCAATCAGTTCTGGGGATATAGCCTAGGGGTACTCTTATCACTGAGCTACATCCCCAGCACTTTTTTTGAGACATTGCCTAGGAGGGTGTCAAGTCTGAGAACTTCTTGCCTAAGCTTCCCTCAGTTATGGGATTAGAAGTGTGTACCACCGTGCCTGGCAGAAAGCTGTATTTTAAAAGTTCAAGGTATTGAGGTTTTGTGATCTTTTCAAACTAATGTCTCTGACAAGAGTTATCTACATGCCACAGAAGGTCATCTATCTCCCTTTCTAATCCACCCCAGTTTTGAATTCTTGATTTTGTGAAATTAGAACCATTTGCTTACTGAACAGATAGACTGAACAGCCTCTCTGAGATAACTAGTGTGAACACTGGCTCTCATTTGGAGGGAGTCCCAGAGCTTGTCAGTCCCACCTTCCCTTTTCTGGCTGAGCCTCTATTCAAACTCTGGCTGAATTCAGTGCCAGACTGGCCTTGTGATGACAGTCGGCTCGGATCACAGCTTTTCTTGATGTGAAAGGATATACCTGCATCATCAGCTCGAAAGGGACAGGCGAAATCTGGTCCAATGGCTGGGATGACTTTGTGTGTCTGAGGATATATGCACACTCACGTACATATATACTCATATACAATAGCTTATTAAATAAGCATTTCATTTCACATGATGATCTCCCCAATTAAAATAAGGGTTCTGAGAAAGTGGGCCAAGGCTCTTTTTTAAATTTTTTTGTTCATAAAAAAATAGCAAAAATCTTCTAACCAGACAGTCTTCATTAGCATTATGGATAATATGGTGGTGGGAATAGACTGGGTTTGAAGAACACCACTGTTCATGTGAGGAATAATACTTAGTGCATTAACATCTTACCCACCAGATCTTTAAGCTCAAATTAAGTCACATTAAGTATCTCTTCAATAAAGCAGCCAAACTTGTATGGCTGGGATCATTCGTGCACAGGTGTAAAAGAAAATGTTTTGTATATCTCAGGAAAGGAATATGACTTTAATTATGTGCTATGATTCCTGTTGTTTTATAATGATCAGCTCTTAAATATTTACCCAGGACTCTGAACAATGGGACAGCATCTGTAATGCTCTTGGTTCCAGATGCTACATAATTGCAGGAACTGCATCCAAAAGCATTTCAAAACTTCTAGAGGATGGAAGCATCAGCATCCCCAGATCCCATGGGCTGATCATAAAACATACAAATCAGACTACCATGTCTGACTTGGTGGAAATAACCAATCTTATTGACAGTAAGTAAAATACAGATCTGAAAGACTCATAATGACTTGGTTATATAAGAAGTCCAAAATATGCAGTATGTGAGTTAGTAAAAAAGGAAAGGATAAATCTGGGATGAAAAGAAACTATTTGTGGGAGATTTAGTGTTGGAAAATAAAATGTAGTTCAGTGAGTCACTTTGTAAACAGTCCAGTAACAGCCCTAGTTCATAAGGTCATCTCTTTACTGAAGGTCATGATAATGGTGTGACCACAGTCACTGAACTGTCAACTTCACAATGGAAATGGGCTTTCTGCCCCTAACAGGGAGACCATAGCCTGATTTCTTCTGAAAGGGCATAGCCATTAGCACATTTATCAGCTGGCTTTAGACTGTGAGCCTGGGCTACAGAAAATCTTGAGAGAAGGCAGAGATACCCCAGCCCTGACTGCTACAGAATAGGTCTCAAACTGAATCACAATCTGTGAAACACCAGCCCGGTTTCCAAGCACAGTAATGTTCAAGCTCATGACAACCTTATCATTCACTAATGCAAGGCATCAGGCCCCTCCAGGAAGCAACGGGGACAGGTGTGTTTACACCACAGCACACTACTAAGGTATTATAAATTTCCTCCCCTAACTCACTATCACATTGTGCTCTAGATTAATCCTTAGCACCCTAAGAATAGGGACCACCTAGGCAGAACCTAAGTACAAAATAAGGATGTAGTCTGCTGGCTTGAAATAAACAGGCATTTTTAATATATCCTTACACTAGGGGGTCATTTTAATTTGTATGGACTTGTGGAAGGCTCCTGGCTGATCAGAATTTGGAACTAGAATATCCACAGCAGGGCATGGGTGTACTTCAGAAGTTAAGAAAACAGGCAAGAAGGTCTAATCAGTAGAAGCAGAGTTTTGTTAGGAGAGATTGTGGCAGAGGGGGAAGTTCATTCCTATCAGGAAAAGCACTAGGGGAAGCTACAGTCAGGCAAGGCAGTGTGTCATCAAGGAAGCATCTAGAAGCAAGCCTTTAGCCCTGAAGCTGGGATTGGGAGCAGGATCCTGGTACTGGAGACAGGGGTGACAGGTGAAAAGCAGGGCTCCAACACAGGTGAGCCTGGGATGCAGAAGTGGGCAGCTTCATGCAGTACCAACAGCCACGAATTTTCGCATTGGATTTAACTCTTACCGTAATCCTCTGAAGCACACATTTTCATTTCCAATTTACTGATATGAAAATAAGGCTTGGAAAGGTTAAGATTCTACAGTAATCCCACTTACTCGGTTCTAATTCCCCACCTTCCAAAGTCTTTGCTGCCTCAGTTTGAACATGCAGTTCCTTTGGCCTCAGCTGCTTTGCTCAGTGTTGTTGACTTAGTTAACTATGCTTCATCCTTCAGGTATTGACTGAAATGAACCATCTATAGATGTATATGCTTCCTCTGGTCTCTTCCTCCAACTGGTTCTTCTCTGAACCTTCCTTGTAGCATCTCGTAGTTTCTCCTCGTAGTGCTGACCATGATGAATTGTCTACTTAATGGCTGGTATCCCTCACTAAATTCCAGTGAGTTCATGGGCATCATAAATATCATGAGCAGCTTTGGGGGACTAGGCACAAGACCAGATTCAGACCTGAAGCAAGAAGCAGAGCCGCACTGGAAGCTGGGGCCAGGGCAGGTCATAGGATGGGCTGACAGGTACAGGTAGAGCTAGCCTGGGGTGTCTAATGGGAGGCTCTAGCCCTGGCCTTTCCCCTTGGGCCCACCATGTAGCAGGGGTCCTTTCATTTTCAGATGGGTCCTGTCTTTAAAATGCAACACTGTCACTGTACACTCTTCATAGTCTCTGGCAAGTTTCAAAAGGTTTGGAGGCCCTCAAATGATTAAATACTATGAACATTGCTCTAATAAATATTCAGAAAGACAGATTCCTTTTATATCATTTGAAATGCAGATCTTTCTACTTGAACAGCAACAAAATAAACTAGATCATGCTTTATAGCTATGGTCTTTGGAACGTGTCAGTCTTGATTTGAGAATTTCCCCCCTTCTTAGTAGTGAGAAAATGATGGTACATCTTACCCCAAAAAAGTATCTTAAGTTTGATGAAACATGGTATTCTGTACTTATACCATGTTAAGCTACCAGGAAAAGGACTAAAAAGATAAAACAAGGGCAACAAAATGCAAATATTTGGATAAAGATTCCTTGGCTGTGTTTGACTTTTGACAGCAAATTTTAAATCTGGACATTTTCTCATTTTGATTCTAGAAGCTCTCATTTATTTGAGTTGTTTCTGTGCCATACAAAAATGAAGGAATTTCTCTTCCAGGGACGAAGCACATTGCCATCCTTGGAAGCACAGAAGGAGAGTCCTCTGATGATAGCCTTGTCGATCTGGTAAGTGCTGAACACTGGTCAAATGCAGAATTGCCAAAACACTGCTTTTATCAGAAATTGGTATTTCAGAGAAATGCAGTCTTTGGTAGAGAAAGTCATGTAACCTTTTATGAAATAGACTTGCTTCCTTCCAGACAGCTACCTTTCGCAAAGAGCTAATCTTTGAACTTTTAAAAGAAGCACAATTGAAGTCCAGGGAAAATGACAAGCACACTTAAATAATTGGGGTGTGCACTAGCAATCTTCCCTCCTAAAATGAAGTGAGAAAGGCCAGACTGTCCTTAGATAAAATCAGCATGCTTACACGACTAGTAAAACGTCTGATGGACAGTCAGTCACACCATCTTTCTGCCTTTCAGCACTCCTGGCTTGTGAGCAGACCACTTTACTTACATAAAGATAAAAAGGAAACTGTAAGAGAAAAAACTCAACGGCATACTGAAGCAGTTTCCCTTTGCTTTAAAGAACTGTTTGTAGCATAGCAAAACATGACACCCCTACTTAAATTAAGTTGTTCCCCCACTTCAGGCTGTTGGACTCGGTGTCCGGTTTATCAAGTTGGGGGGTCTTTCCCGTGGTGAACGGGTGACTAAGTACAACCGCCTTCTTACTATAGAGGAAGAACTTGTCCAGAATGAAACACTGGGTATGTGCTACTTTCTCATTTTGTTTTCACTTCCGTGTGAATAAGGGAACAAAGGTGGGGAGAGGGGGAATAGAAGTGCCCCCCACAGGAGGGCAGGAGAGTCCAGAGACTATAGATCAGTGCTGACAAAACCAGAATGGCACTTGCTACAATGTATATTGTTATCTTAATGATTATCTATTTACCTGAATGTTTAAAACTCTTGCCCTTCTTCTCTTGAATAAGCTGCATGATGCTTTTCAATAGAATTAATTGATTGGAATCTCCAAGCCTACCTTTTGTTATGGTCCAAATTATAGAGGCTTTTCTTCACAGCCTGTGGAAGTTACAGGCAGATGTTTTCCTCATGGTTCCTGGAGACAACTCTTCCACTTAAAACAACTAGGCAGCATGTTCATTTTAATGTACCTTGGAAAGTTCAAGGTCTCAAGTGAATGAGTCATTTATGAAATTCAACCTTTATAAATTTGCATGGATAGAAACATCTTGTGTACTGGCTGGTGAGAAACATCTTAAATATGCATTTTTGTTTTCTATATTATTGATTGTGATGGCCTAAAAGAAGCCAGAGCATGCAGTCATTTATAAAGATCAACAAAAATTGTGATTTTTAAAAATTGTCATGTTTAACCATTTATGCAGTGGTTCTGAAACACACCCTTCATAGAAAATGAAGATATAACTGAGAAACTATTTTTGACCTACATAAAGGCAGTCAAAAGTTAGTGTGTGTTTGGTGTGAAATGCACAAGCTCATTTTTTAAAATAGGTCAATTATATAGTTCTATATATTGTCCGGTTATCTTTTGTCATTCTGAACTCATGGAGGCCTTAGGTTCCTTAAATGATTGCTCATTCTTATTCACAAGAAAATGACAGGACACCCCAGGGACTAGAGGCCTACCCCCTTTCAGGTACCCTTCCAGGTATTGGAATGGATTGGGAATTGAGAATTTCTCTGATACTGGACAATAAACATTAAGGGAAAACTGGCAAAACAAACCTCTCTATTCCCACTTCTGAGTAGGAAATCCTGGCAAAATCCAGCCACTAAAATACCATCATTGCCTATAGGGACCTTTCTAGAACAGTCCACTTCTGCCATCAGAGTCTTTGGCAGTGGTTTGTGTTCACACATAGCACTGGACTTTCCTCTAGTTCAGCTCCCTCTTTTCCTTTTCTGCTAAGTCTATACCGCTGAACAGTAAAGGACTCCAGAAGGTCTTACGCTACAGCCTGAAGAGGACAATGGTTTCATACAATGAATGCATAACCAAAGCGATTCTGCATCCTATCTGATGGCACTGTGACTCCTTTGGGCCATTTCTGATGATGATCCCTTCAAATAATATGATAACACCAGAAATGGCACCCTGGGTTAGACAGTAAACTTTTTTTTTTTTAATAGGTTTCAATGAAGAACACATCTTTTCTCACTTTAATGAAGACGCTGAAAAGGCACTTGAAGCTGCTGCCACTGCAGCTGGTGAGCTGCCTGGGCCCCTGGAACCTACCTTCCCCACAGAGGTTGTGGAAGAATCAGCCAAATCTTGAGCACATTGACGGGGTGTACCCTGGGATAGAGCCACACCAGGGTATTAGACTGGTAGGTGTAAAGTATGTCTCTATATTGGCTCTGCTCTTAAACGTCACTGTTGTGCTTTTCCATTCTTGTGACTTCACTGTTTGGTAAAATACATATATAATATTTTTGCCTGAAAGTCTGTGAACTTTGTTTTGTAGTCGTCACATTTCCATGAGGACATTAGCTCTACTGTCCAGTGTGTGAGGTCATGATCTAGTTTTTCTAGAGGTAATATTTTTGTTGCCAATTCTATAACATCTTGTCCTTTACAAATGAGAACACTTCCAAAACAGAGGCTAATTCTGTAAGAAGCTCTCAGTTCCAGGAACAGGTGTCCAGCTTCTCTGTTCTGAAATGCGAAGACACCTTTTTGCAGCCAACCTGATGCAGCTGGTGCCAAGACCATCACTTTTTGAAACAGCCAGAGAACTTCATCTTATATTCCTACACTTGATTCCCATTTCCCCTGATGTCTTTGTCTTAAATTTTAGCTTTTCTTATTTTTATCTTTGTGAGTCTCCTTATATCATTTCGGAACAAGAAAAGATATAAATAAACAAATCAGTGAAATGAATACTCTTCAGGTTATTAAATGCCCAAACTGTTTATAATATAAAGGGGATTGGCAAATGGCTAAAAAGGATGTGACATTTATGTTGACTGACTCACCTCTTGACGTTTGTCAGCCATTGTTGGGGTAATAGCAGAGGAATCCCAGAAATAAACATATTCAAGCACACACCTATAGACATATAATGATGTCCAACTGTTTTATGATTGGGTTCTCTTAAAAGGATTACTACTTGCTTTTCCTACAAATTGTACATATTGCTATGTACTAACCTGCAAGAGAGAGTTGGCTAAATTTAGACTTCTGATCTACTGTATAAGTTTTACCAAGTGCACCAAGGTCCTCTCCTTTTGAAGAGTGTAAGCAAGGGAAATTAATGTCTTCATGGTAGAGCCAGCCTCTTCCTCTCAAAGCTACAATCTGAAATTGGTCACAACATGACGTACAGAGCTGCTTGACATCTTCTATGTTGGGAGAGTATGTTATAATTTGTGGTCACCACTGCTTCTTCTGATTCTTAGCAGCCAACAGTAGGGCTGAGAAACTGGAAGGAAAATTCAACTTAAAGGCAGGATGAACATGGCTGGATGTTCACACAACCTTTGCAAATGTCCTTAAAGATACACACACACACGCACAGGAAAATCATATGAGAATATCCCCTGCAACCATGATAAAAATTATAAACCAGAGAAAAATGATTAAGTTAACCAAAGAAGTTATTTATTACCTTAACCAGGTGAGGTTAGCACTTTAGTTTTAACCCAGAACACAGTCTACTTAAGTTAACTCACCACCAATGGAAGGTGAGGGTTTTAATGTGGATTATTTGAGAATGCTAATCACTGTTACCATTTATATTTTTTCCAGTCTATGTTATATAAAAATTTATATAATAATATGTAATATCTGTGAAAGAGATGAAAGAAACTAGTCATATCCCAGATTAAAAATGAGAGTAGGGGGCTGGGGATTTAGCTCAGTGGTTCTGCTGCCTGCCTCACAAGCACAAGGTCCTGAGTTCAATCCCCAGTATCAAAACAACAGAAAACAAACAAACAAACAAAACTGACAGTGGGACAAGGAAAGTGGGACAGTACTTGGAAGAAACATGAAGACTTCTAGTCCATACATAAGCATTGTTTGATGAGTCTCTTAAGGGCAGTGATGATGCCAGATGGTTACTGACTCTTCACAGTTTATTGGCACATCAGTTAAAGTTCTTCCATGATGGAAATGTACCTTCAAAAAAATAATCCCGATTTTTTTGACTCTGTGATACAGACTATCATTTGCCTAACATACAACTTAAAATAATCGGGAAAGATAACCATAATTTTTACCTGTACTACTTCCTATCCAATAGACCTTTTTACTGCTAACAAAGTTTAGGAAGGAGGAATTACTTACTGATGAGCAGTCAAAGCCAAACCAACCAGCCTTTTTAGCTCAGGGAAAACAAGACTGGGTGCTAAAGGCCCTGATGATCCCTGCCAATCAGAACACCCACAGGGCTGATCAACTGCTAAAATGGCTGAAGGTAAGGAGTTTGAGACTAGCTTAGGTACAAAAGGGTGCAAGGATTTCAGTTAAATTCTTATTCTTTCACAAGAGGAGACACTTTCTTTTTCTTCAATAGGAACAGCACAAAGGCCCTCTATCCCTCTGCCTCACTGTGGGTATAAAAGTGCATAAACATGAGTTAAGAAAACGAAAGCAGAGAGACCTAACCTATATTCCTAAAAGAGAAGCATAGATGTCATTACACAGAAAACAAAAGCATGCAAGACTTTCCAACTTTAAAATGTTACAGTAGATTGTAGATTAATTTTTGTGCAAGTGAGTTGGGGGATTTAGCTCAATGGCACCGCACCTACCTTGCAAACACAAGGTCCTGAGTTCAATTCCCAGTACTGAAAACAAAATTTTTGTGTTTGCAAATGACTAAGGACACACTTTGAAGATGGAAGCATAGACTCCCTATGTCATCCTATCTGGGACTAATTGCTTTGTTGACAACACAGCAGAAGAAAAAAAAAACCCTCATATTAGCTGAAAAGAAAAAACTAGGAAAAAGGTGAATACCTTATATCAAATATCCTTGAGCCATAGTAATTTAAAATGTGATTATGAGAAAGGAAAGTAGGGAAGCTCAGAAAGGCAAAATACCAGGTGCTAGCTGGGTGTGGTGGCGCACACCTGTAATCCCAGCATTCAGGAGGCTGAGGCAGGAGGATCGCTGTGAGTTCGAGACCAGCCTGGGCTACATAGTGAGTTCCAGGTATCTCAATCAAAAAAAAAAAAAAAAAAAAATATATATATATATATATACACACACACACACACACACACACACACACACACACACACACACATATACATACATACATATACATACATACATATAACTGATGCTCAGTCCAGCCAGCACATCTCACTGAATGGCTAACTCCTGCTAGGAACAAAGGTGTTTTCATAACCATGTTATCCTGCTGATGTGTATGATGAAATATGGAAACAGTGTATATGTGTAATATACAAACCAGGAGACTGATAATGTACACAGGAAAGAGGTTCACATCAAGAAACATGGAATAGGGGCTGGGGATGCAGCTCAATGGTTGGCCACCTGCCTTGCAAGCACAAGGTCCTGAATTCGATCCCAGTACCCCCCCCAAAAAAACAATGTGTTATGTACACGCACCAACTCCCCACTATGAAAGTAATCATCATGTACTGCAATCATGTGCTAATCAAAATTAAAATAAAAATAAAATGGCTCAAAGCAAGCCATCTTTTAGATCATTAAAAATTACTAAAATTACCAACTCTTATACAATATTCCTATGAAGAACATCAAGACTAGTTCAGTTTTGAGGCTAGAGTGTAGCTCAGTGGTAGAACACTTACCTATCAATTTGCACAGCCCTGGATTTGATTCCTAGCAAAGTGAGGCCAGTAAGGTTGGAAAACTAAATTTAAAAAGTCAAAAACCACGATTGACCCTTAATGGGAAGCTGTTGGTGCTTCTTTTTAATACATTGTGGTGAGGAGAGTTCAAATCACAGCATAACATAACTCATCTAAGTGAATTAATCAGTTTGTAGTTAGCATATCACATAGTGCTATTATTCAGTTAGCAAAACATACAGATGAGAAAACGTTACATTTAAATTCCCTATGAGTAATCTGATAGGTAATTCTAAATCATCACCGGAAGAACATGGAAATAGTCAGCATAGCGATCCTAAAGAAAGATAATTGTCTCCAAATTGAGGAAGTACATTCACCTGACTACCCACGTCCTCAAACTGCTGCTTACACGTGCAAAAATACAATACAACTACTGCAATTATTACTATCATTTTCTTTTGCCCTTAGGTGAGAAACACCTGACAGCTACATGCTGAGTCATGCTAACAAAACTAAACCTTTCACTTTCTTTAATAGTAAAATTACTATTACTGAATCATTATCATAAAAAGTGCATTCAAGTACATTACCACTTATTTTAAATAAACACCAATTTTGAAACAATTGACTTTGAAAAGCTGCATAAGTTTTTTTTTTTAAATCCCTGATTACATTTCTATTTATTCCCTGTGGTAGCCTGAAACACTGTACTTTGAGAGACTACCACTTAATTTCTTTAAAACAAAACAAAAAAACCTGTGTAATACAGAATGGCAGTGAAGCAAGAAAAATGTGTGCTTGTCACTTATCTTCACTGTACGTAAGAACTGTGATAAAATATGGTGCTTGGGCCACATTAGTATATGGGAAAACACAATGAACTCATAGTACAGAAAACATGATTTATGAAGATATTACTATTGATTCGAGGTTTGGACTTTCACCTCCATTCCATACTCAGGCCACCAAAACATTCCCACTGAGGTCCTTGGGAGGCTTTGGGCACAATCAATAGCATGTATTTTTCATCCAGTAGTTAACAAAATGTGCAATTCATGTTGACTAAGAGGCAACTACTTTGATGCCAGCTCCTGAGTTTGAAGTTTATCCCAGTCTACCCTAGAAAATAACTTATATGCCATGGGATCCACCCTTTCCATGTAGTTTATCTAAAGAGGATCAGACCCAACACAGAAGCTTCTTGGGGAGCTTTTGTTTTGTTTTTTTGAGTCATGGTCTCTCTATGTTCCCCAGTCTAGCCTTAAACTTCTGGGCTCAAGTGATCCTCCTGCCTGCCCCAGCCTCCAGAGTTGCTGAACTACAGGTGCAAACCACTGTGCTTGGCCCTGAGGGGTTTATATCATGTTAAGTTGTTTGTTCTGTTTATCCAACTATTCAGAAGCACCTCAAACTTTCAGCATTACTAAATTTGATGAGTGGTATGCACATTTCCTAAAAAGATACCAACATCTGACTCCTTTGTACTCTTCTAAACAAAGCCATACTTCATACATACAGTAACTAGGAAAAATCTTATCCCTATAAAGATCAAAAACCAAAAACTACTTAGAATGTGTGTATTTTGCTAAACAGCTTATTTATGCTTATAGTTGCTACTTACAAAAGTGACACCAGAAAAGCTGTATTGTGAATACAGTGACCAGACGGAATGTCTATAGCCCTTGACAACACACCAAACCAAATCATGTACTTATTGAAAAGGACTTCCAAACATGTTAGCCTTCTGGTTGATGGATCAGCAGCTGGAGCTGTCTGTCTCTCTCATTTTTTCAATGCTGTCTTCTTTGAATTCTGGTTTAGTTTCACCTTCATCGTGCTTGCATTGAGCTGGATCTTTTTCGGCGACCTGGTCTTTGGTTTGGGGTTCGTGTGCAGAAACAGGATCTAAAACTACAATTGGTTCAGCTTTGTTTTCACTGCCAATGTATTTTCTCCTGTATCCAATGTTACTGGGAGGCCTGTGAGATGAAGAGTTAAACAGAAAAATAAAAAGTAGAGAGAGAAAGCATTTTTTTTCTTTTATATTCCTGGATTCCAAACAACCCCCGCCCCAATATTCTATCTAATCAACATGCATAATTGTCTTTGAGATGCCAGCCATTAAAAAAAAAAATGAAGCTATTGGGTTATGTATTAGGAGACCAAGGCCAGAAGAAGACAGAAAAAGAGCGATTAATAGAGAAAATGTTAAAAAGCCAAACACACCTACCTGCTTAATCACATGTTCTTCTCAGGAAGTACAAAGCTTGTGGATCCATTGTGCATTTATTTCCCATCACTGCCTAATGTCCCAACTCCTGCCCTGCTACCCTACTTAGCTGGAAGGAGCCCACCCAGCCCTTACCCTCCCTCTTGCCCCCAGATGCAGCTGGTGCAGATTAGCTTTGAAGAGGTGCAGGGAGAGCAGAGACAGTCAGTCCTGGTCATCAAGGGCCAGGTAAGAGATGTGCCATCGACAGCCTTAACAAGCT